CTTCGGACTTTATTGGACTGATTGAATTGGGTGCTGACCGAACCGCACAGGCCATAACAGACGGACTTGTGAGACTTTTCCAGGACACAGGCTTGGATGACACAGACGGGGCTGCTGTCAACGTAGGTATGGGTATGTTTCATAATACCAGATGGTCTGCATGGAGGCATGAAACACTGTTAAAAATATCAAGACTATTGCCAGCCATTAAAATGTAACTGGTTACCAGGTATTTATTTCAGTCACACTGGTTGAATTTTTGGCTAAAAGGTTACTGAATCGATTTCAAGTCACTGAATCGTTTCGGATCGTATCGTTCTAAATGAACCAATATCGTCCTTGAATCGTATCGACAACCACGAATCGTGATACAAATCGAATCGTTGTTAAAACGAATCGTTACACCCCTAATAATTACCAATAAACGTTACCAGTAGCTACCCGCTAGATAGCTAGCATACCAAGAGTGTGTTAACACACTAAACAGATAATTCATGTCCGTGTCTAGTTCCTTTCATAACACAGCAAAGATTAAACGTTGGCTAGCTAGCACATTAACACTGGAAACAACTCTCCACCGTTGCACTAAACAGATAATTACCAATAAACGTTACCAGTAGCTACCCGCTAGCTAGCTAGCCTCGTGCTTCGCCGGGCTCCGCCGTAAACAATACAATACTTACCTACAATAATTGCCTACGGAATCCTACAATAACAACCTAAATAACTACGTAAATAAACTACCTACCTACGATCTAAATACATGGTTTAAGCTTTACTCAACACCATATGAGAAGCCAAGCTTACCTCCTGCTAGAGAAAAACACAACCTCTCCCGACGAAGCACGACCAACACCCCGACCAACCTACAATCTAAACTAGATGCCCTCAATCTCGCACAAATTATCAACAAACCTACCAGGTACAACCCTAAATCTGTAAACATGGGCACCCTCATAGATATCATCCTGACAAATTTACCCTCTAAATTCACCTCCGCTGTCTTCAACCAGGATCTCAGCGATCACTGCCTTATTGCCTGCGTCCGTAATGGGTCTGCGGTCAAACAACCACCCCTCATCACTGTCAAACGCTCCCTAAAACACATTAGCGAGCAGGCTTTTCTAATTGACCTGGCCCGGGTATCCTGGTTGGATATTGACCTCGTTCCGTCAGTAGAGGATGCCTGGTTGTTCTTTAAAAGTGTTTTCCTCTCAATCTTATATAAGCATGCCCCATTCAAAAAATGCAGAACTAAGAACAGATATAGCCCCTGGTTCACCTCAGACTTGACCGCCCTTGACCAGCACAAAAACATCCTGTGGCGTACTGCATTAGCATCGAACAGCCCCCGCGATATGCAACTTTTCAGGGAAGTCAGGAACCAATATACACAATCAGTTAGGAAAGCAAAGGCTAGCTTTTTCAAACAGAAATGTGCATCCTGTAGCACTGACTCCAAAAGGTTTTGGGACACTGTAAAGTCCATGGAAAATAAGAGCACCTCCTCCCAACTGCACACTGCACTGAGGCTAGGAAACACTGTCACCACCGATAAATCTACAATAATTGAGAATTTCAACCAGTATTTTGCTACGGCTGGCCATGCTTTCCACCTGGCTACCACTACCCCGGCCACCAGCTCTGCACCCTCCGCTGCAACTTGCCCATGCCCCCTTGTTCTCAACTGGCTTACCTGGTTAAATAAAGGTTAAATAAAAATAAATAAACACAATACCCCATAATGACAAAGCAAAAACAGGTTTTTAGATTTTTTTTGCAAATGTATTGAAATTAAAAACAGAAATATGACATTTACATAAGTATTCAGACCCTTTACCTAATACTTTGTTGATGCACCTTTGGCAGCAATTACAGCCTCAAGTCTTTTTGGGTATGACGCTACAAGCTTGGCACACCTGTATTTGGGGAGTTTCTCCCATTCTTCACTGCAGAGTCTATCAGGCTCTGTCAGGTTGGCCGGCGCTTGGCATTGCGCATGGAGATCTTAGGCTTGTGTGCGTGCGGCTGCTCGGCCATGGAAACCCATTTCATGAAGCTCCCGACGAACAGTTCTTGTGCTTCCAGAGGCAGTTTGGAACTCGGTAGTGAGTGTTGCAACCGAGGACAGACCATTTTTACGCGCTTCAGCACTCGGCGTTCCCGTTCTGTGATCTTATGTGGCCTACCACTTCGCGGTTGAGTAACTGACTTGTTGGAAAGGTGGTATCATTTTCATTTACATTTTCGTCATTTAGCAGACGCTCTTATCCAGAGCGACTTACAAAATGGTGCATTCACCTTATAGCCAGTGGGATAACCACTTGACAATATGTTTTTTTTTTTTTTTGGGGGGGGGGTGGGGTAAGGGGGGGGGTAGAAAGATTACTTTATCCTATCCCAGGTATTCCTTAAAGAGGTGGGGTTTCAAGTGTCTCCGGAAGGTGGTGAGTGACTCCGCTGTCCTGGCGTCGTGAGGGAGATTGTTCCACCATTGGGGTGCCAGAGCAGCGAACAGTTTTGACTGGGCTGAGTAGGAACTTGGGAAGGTTGAACACCAGACGGGCTGCGGCATTCTGGATGAGTTGTAGGGGTTTAATGGCACAGGCAGGGAGCCCAGCCAACAGCGAGTTGCAGTAATCCAGACGGGAGATGACAAGTGCCTGGATTAGGACCTGTGCCGCTTCCTGTGTAAGGCAGGGTCGTACTCTCCGAATGTTGTTTCCTATGTTGTATCCTATGACGGTGCCACGTTGAAAGTCACTGAGCTCTTCAGTACGGACCATTCTACTGCCACTGAAGCGAAGCAGATTAAACTTATTTAGGAAAACAGCCCTAATGTTGGAAACAAACATCATTATGTTGTCATCCAGAGTCACATTTATCTATTTTCCAAGCTATAGCACACAATATTTTACATACACCAGGTATTTAAAGGACCAAAGAGTTTGGTCTGCTTCATTTTTGCCATGGAAAAAATATTGTAATACTGGTATCGTCCAAGCCCTAATAGCTGCAGTGCAGACATGACATACTATTCAACCCAAATAGTCTTTTCACATTTCAGGGTTGAGATAAAGGTCCAATGCAGCAGTTTTTTATCTCACTATCAAATCATTTCTGGAGAACAATTAAGTACCTTTCTGTGATTGTTTTAAATTAAAATGGTTAAAAACAAACAAAAATAGCTTCTTAGCAAAGAGCAATTTCTCAAGCAAGAATTTTTCTAGGACTGTCTAGGAGTGGGGAGGGGGACACTAAAAACTAGCTGTTATATGCAGAGAGTTTTGGAACTACAGTGGGGGGGAAAAGTATTCAGTCAGCCACCATTTGTGCAAGTTCTCCCACTTAAAAAGATGAGAGAGGCCTGTAATTTTCATCATAGGTACACGTCAACTATGACAGACAAAATGAGCATTTTCTTTCAAGAAAATCACATTGTAGGATTTTTTATTAATTTATTTGCAAATGATGGTGGAAAATAAGTATTTGGTCAATAACAAAAGTTTCTCAATACTTTGTTATATACCCTTTGTTGGCAATGACACAGGTCAAAGTTTTCTGTAAGTCTTCACAAGGTTTTCACACACTGTTGCTGGTATTTTGGCCCATTCCTCCATGCAGATCTCCTCTAGAGCAGTGATGTTTTGGGGCTGTCGCAGGGCAACACTGACTTTCAACTCCCTCCAAAGATTTTCTATGGGGTTGAGATCTGGAGACTGGCTAGGCCACTCCAGGACCTTGAAAAGGTTCTTACGAAGCCACTCCTTTGTTGCCCGGCCAGTGTGTTTGGGATCATTGTCATGCTGAAAGACCCAGCCACGTTTCATCTTCAATGCCCTTGCTGATGGAAGGAGGTTTTCACTCAAAATCTCACGATACATGGCCCCATTCATTCATTCCTTTACACGGATCAGTCGTCCTGGTCCCTTTGCAGAAAAACAGCCCCAAAGCATGATGTTTCCACCCCCATGCTTCACAGTAGGTATGGTGTTCTTTGGATGCAACTCAGCATTCTTTGTCCTCCAAACACGACGAGTTGAGTTTTTACCAAAAAGTTCTATTTTGGTTTCATCTGACCATATGACATTCTCCCAATCCTCTTCTGGATCATCCAAATGCACTCTAGCAAACTTCAGACGGGCCTGGACATGTACTGACTTAAGCAGGGGGACACGTCTGGCACTGCAGGATTTGAGTCCCTGGCGGCGTAGTGTGTTACTGATGGTAGGCTTTGTTACTTTGGTCCCAGCTCTCTGCAGGTCATTCACTAGGCCCCCCCGTGTGGTTCTGGGATTTTTGCTCACCGTTCTTGTGATGATTTTGACCCCACGGTGTGAGATCTTGCGTGCAGCCCCAGATCGAGGGAGATTATCAGTGGTCTTGTATGTCTTCCATTTCCTAATAATTGCTCCCACAGTTGATTTCTTCAAACCAAGCTGCTTACCTATTGCAGATTCAGTCTTCCCAGCCTGGTGCAGGTCTACAATTTTGTTTCTGGTGTCCTTTGACAGCTCTTTGGTCTTGGCCATAGTGGAGTTTGGAGTGTGACTGTTTGAGGTTGTGGACAGGTGTCTTTTATACTGATAACAAGTTCGAACAGGTGCCATTAATACAGGTAACGAGTGGAGGACAGAGGAGCCTCTTAAAGAAGAAGTTACAGGTCTGTGAGAGCCAGAAATCTTGCTTGTTTGTAGGTGACCAAATACTTATTTTCCACCATAATTTGCAAATAAATTCATTAAAAATCCTACAATGTGATTTTTTGGATTTTTTTCTCTCAATTTGTCTGTCATAGTTGACGTGTACCTATGATGAAAATTACAGGCCTCTCTCATCTTTTTAAGTGGGAGAACTTGCACAATTGGTGGCTGACTAAATACTTTTTTTCCCCACTGTAAATTCTCCACTTCATGAGTGAATTCAATAACTAAATTGGAATTTCAAATGAAATTGGAATTGACCCCAACCCTGTTACATTCCCTCTCAGAAAAGCAAATATGGGTGGACTACAATCAACGCTAGCACAGACACCCCCACCACCCCCACCAAAGAAGGGTAAGAGAGATATGACATATAGGTCAAATACAGTCAACCCCTGATAGTGAATATCAGGTGTGAGTGCAAATTCTGTTCAAGCACAGTGCATCAGTCCCAATTATTTTTACTTGTTCTGGGAATCTGCATTCACCATTTTAGCGCATGCATTGACCACAGCCCCAAGGCATTACATATATAGTACATACCCTGTGTCATTGACTGTAGCCTACTCTCATTAAATATGTGTAATTGTAATCAAAATCTTCAAATTCTTTTGAAAGTAAGAGATGGGGGGTATTGGAATGTGGAAAACAATAATTAAGTTAATTTAATCAAAATGTGTTCCATGTGTGTCACACAGAATTTGACCAACAATGGAGGAAAACATGTTGGAGGTAAGTACTGTACTGACAGACCAAATATGGAGGATGAAGGAGAAAGAGAGTGAAAGTCAAATGGACGTTTTGGTTATCATTACAATCACTATCAAGGGTTGTGTTGTGTGAATAGTGTACTATGCTAAATTGCTGATATCAGTTTTCCCACCATCTTAAATCAGTTAAGTCCTGGTGTAATCTTGATGCAATTTCCCTGTACATAATTATAAGCAGTCCACGGCCACTGTTTTGCATAGAATCTGTGCCACAAATGCTAAAAGGTTAGCATTTGGAAACAGTGGCCAGGTAAACAAAACAAGAAGTAACAGGTACTCTATATTGTCTCTGACAGTAAAGGAGAGAGAGACCACATGGTGGATAAACTGAGGAGCTTTAAAGTGAGTGATCCTGACGTGGGTCAGCTCAGATGCCTGCTATATGGACCAGTCGGTGCTGGAAAGTCCAGCTTCATCAACTCAGTCAACAATGTCTTCCAAAATCGGACAACAGGTGGTGCCCTGGTAGCTGCTAGCTCTGGCACAAGCTTCACCACGACAGTAAGCTGCAGTGCCTAATACATTTAACACAGACACAATGCAGGCATGGGATATGGCTCCCTAATATATCCTGGTACACTAAGACATACAGTATTTAATGAGCTACAAACAGGCAGAACAGAGACATGAAGAGGGACTTATAGAAACAAAGAGAGGTTGTTTGCGCTCTTTTAAATGCAAAACGTAGTCAATCACAGGGGCGTAGGTTTGAAAAAGTAGGATCATGGAAAGGATAGATACAAGCAGACTGTTGGAAACATCTAAAATGGAGACTCAGATGCACAAATGTATATAATTTATATATTTTTATATCAAAAGGTGCATAATGAAAAGGATCAAGACAAATGAAAGCACACAAATCTGTCTATAAATAAAATATAAATGAGTTGATTACATCACATAATCAAGCCTAGATAAATGCAAAGGATGTAACTAAGAAATGGGTTCCTTGAGTTCCTTGACTTCATCGCAGTGCTAGGTGCGTCACTATAGACCAGGGTTTGACCCCGGCTGTATCACAACCGGCCGTGATCGGGAGTCCCATAGGGTGGCGCGCAATTGGCCCAGTGTCGTCCGGCTTAGAGGAGGGTTTGGCCGGGGTAGGCCGTCATCGTAAATAAGAATTTGTTCTTAACTGACTTGCCTACTAGTTCAATAAAATAAAATAAAAACTACACAGTAGAACACAAAGTAGAAATGTTAAATTATGTATTCTACTGCTTAGTTACATCCTTTGACTTAAAAACCGAAACGTTGGTCTTGCATTTCTACTTTATGCACCTTTTTGCACATTTCGGGGCAATGTGCCCTAAATAAATTATATATCTTCTGTATAACACCGCTACCTTGTCACAACACAACTGGTTGGCTCAAACGCATTAAGAAGGAAAGAAATTCCACAAATTAACTTTTAACAAGGCACACCTGTTAACTGAAATACATTCCAGGTGACTACCTCATGAAGCTGGTTTAGAGAATGCCAAGAGTGTGCAAAGCTGTCATCAAGGCAAAGGGTGGCTACAAAATATAACATATATTTTGATTTGTTTAACACTTTCTTTTGGTTACTACATGATTCCATATGTCAAAATAAAGAAAAACCCTTGAATGAGTAGGTGTGTCAATTCAAATATAAATATAAAATAGACACACACACACACAACATTTACACTAGGAACAGCTTTCTACTATTGTGTTGCACCCCCTTTTGTCCTCAAAACAGCCTTCATTCATCGGTGTATGGACTCTACAAGGTGTCGAAAGCGTTCCACAGGGATGCTGGCCCATGTTGACTCCAATACTGGATGTTGGCTGGATGTCCTTTGGGTGGTGGACCATTCTTGATATACACGGGAAACTGTTGAGCGTGAAAAACCCAGCAGCGTTGCAGTTCATTACACAAACCGGTGCGCCTGGCACCTACTACCATACCCCGTTCAAAGGCACTTAAATCTTTTGTCTTGCCCATTCACCCTCTGAATGGCACACATACACAATCCATGTCTCAATTGTCTCAAGGCTTGAAAATGATTCTTTAACCTGTCTCCTCCCCTTCATCTACACAGATTTAAGTAGATTTAACAAGTGACATCAATAAAGGATCATAGTTTTAACCTATCATGGAAAACTCAGGTGTTCCTAATGTTCTGTACGCTCTGTGTATATATTTGTTGACTCTGAGCCTCAGTTTGGGATCTTTTTCATGTTTCCGAGTGTGAGGGTATCTATCCTTTCCATAGAAAAAAAACGATCAATGTTATTAAATAAACCATTTATTTTCAGTATGACACACACTACATTCAAGGCCGTTCAGGAGAAAAACGTCTTCCCTTTGCATTCAATGATGTCATGGGTCTGGAAACACAAAAAAATGGGTTGCACACTGATGACATCATCAATGCTCTGAAGGGCCATCTACCAGAGGGCTATGAGGTAATTCAGAAGTCACACACACACACAGACACACACACACACACACACACACACACTAACAAATCTTATCTTTTCTTGGCCAGTTCAACCCTTTCCACCCATTATCGGACAAAAAAAAAGAATTCATTCAAAATCCCAGCTTTAGTGACAAAACTCACTGCCTGGTGAGTATTGTGACAGCCGACAAAATCTCTCTCATGTCAAAGGATGTCATAGACAAGATGAAGAACATCAGGGCAGAAGCCAGTAGACTGAGTAAGTAAGATCTTTAAACTCTCTACGTTTCTCAATGGTAACTGCAACTATGGCTGGGTATCAATTGACACCTTTCAGCTGCAGCTCTTGACTATTACATGATACAGTGTTACTTACAGTGCATTAGGAAAGTATTCAGACCCCTTGACTCTCTCCACATTTTGTTATGTTTCTGCCTTATTCTAAAATGGATGAAATTGTTTTCCCCCCTCAATAACCCATAATGACAAAGCAAAAACAGGTATTTATAAATCTTGGCAAATGTATTAATATAAAAAATTGAAATATCACATTTACATACAGTGGGGAAAAAAAGTATTTAGTCAGCCACCAATTGTGCAAGTTCTCCCACTTAAAAATATGAGAGAGGCCTGTAATTTTCATAATAGGTACACATCAACTATGACAGACAAAATGAGACAAACATTTCCAGAAAATCACATTGTAGGATTTTTAATGAATTTATTTGCAAATGGAGGAAAATAAGTATTTGGTCACCTACAAACAAGCAAGGTTTCTGGCTCTCACAGACCTGTAACTTCTTCTTTAAGAGGCTCCTCTGTCCTCCACTCGTTACCTGTATTAATGGCACCTGTTTGAACTTGTTATCAGTATAAAAGACACCTGTCCACAACCTCAAACAGTCACACTCCAAACTCCACTATGGCCAAGACCAAAGAGCTGTCAAAGGACACCAGAAACAAAATTGTAGACCTGCACCAGGCTGGGAAGACTGAATCTGCAATAGGTAAGCAGCTTGGTTTGAAGAAATCAACTGTGGGAGCAATTATTAGGAAATGGAAGACATACAAGACGACTGAAAATCTCCCTCGATCTGGGGCTCCACGCAAGATCTCACCCCGTGGGGTCAAGATGATCACAAGAACGGTGAGCAAAAATCCCAGAACCACACGGGGGGACCTAGTGAATGACCTGCAGAGAGCTGGGACCAAAGGAACAAAGCCTACCATCAGTAACACACTACGCCGCCAGGGACTCAAATCCTGCAGTGCCAGACGTGTCCCCCTGCTTAAGCCAGTACATGTCCAGGCCCATCTGAAGTTTGCTAGAGTGCATTTGGATGATCCAGAAGAGGATTGGGAGAATGTCATATGGTCAGATGAAACCAAAATAGAACTTTTTGGTAAAAACTCAACTCGTCGTGTTTGGAGGACAAATAATGCTGAGTTGCATCCAAAGAACACCATACCTACTGTGAATTATGGGGGTGGAAACATCATGTTTGGGGCTGTTTTTCTGCAAAGGGACCAGGACGACTGATCCGTGTAAAGGAAAGAATGAATGGGGCCATGTATCGTGAGATTTTGAGTGAAAACCTCCTTCCATCAGCAAGGGCATTGAAAATGAAACGTGGCTGGGTCTTTCAGCATGACAATGATCCCAAACACACTGTCCGGGCAACGAAGGAGTGGCTTCGTAAGAAGCATTTCAAGGTCCTGGAGTGGCCTAGCCAGTCTCCAGATCTCAACCCCATAGAAAATCTTTGGAGGGAGTTGAAAGTCCGTGTTGCACAGCGACAGCCCAAAAACATCACTGCTCTAGAGGAGATCTGCATGGAGGAATGGGCCAAAATACCAGCAACAGTGTGTGAAAACCTTGTGAAGACTTACAGAAAACGTTTGAACTGTGTCATTGCCAACAAAGGGTATATAACAAAGTATTGAGAAACTTTTGTTATTGACCAAATACTTATTTTCCACCATCATTTGCAAATAAATTCATTAAAAATCCTACAATGTGATTTTCTGGATTTTTTTTCCTCATTTTGTCTGTCATAGTTGACGTGTACCTATGATGAAAATTACAGGCCTTTTAAGTGGGAGAACTTGCACAATTGGTGGCTGACTAAATACTATTTTTCCCCACTGTAAGTATTCAGACCCTTTACTCAGTACTTTTTTGAAGCACCTTTGGCAGCGATTACAGCCTCGAATCTTCTTGGGTATGACGCCACAAGCTTGGCACACATATATTTGGGGAGTTTCTCCCATTCTTCTCTGCAGATCCTCTCAAGCGCTGTAAGGTTGGATGGGGAGTGTTGCTGCACAGCTATTTTCAGGTCTCTCCAAAGATGTTCGATCAGGTTCAAGTCTGGGCTCTGGCTGGGCCAATCAAGGACATTCAGAGACTTGTCCCGAAGCCACTCCTGCATTGTCTTGGCTGTGGGCTTAGGGTCGTTGTCCTGTTGGAAGGTGAACCTTCGCCCCAGTCTGAGGTCCTGGAACATGTTTTCATCAAGGATCTCTCTGTACTTTGCTCTGTTCATCTTTCCCTCGATCCTGACTAGTCTCCCAGTCCCTGCCGCTGAAAAACATCCCCACAGCATGATGCTGCCACCACCATGCTTCACCGTAGGGATGGTGCCAGGTTTCCTCCAGATGTGATGCTTGGTATTCAGGCCAAAGAGTTCAATCTTGGTTTCATCAGACCCGAGAATCTTGTTTCTCATGGTCTGAGGGTCTTTAGGTGCCTTTTGGCAAACTCCAAGCGGGCTGTCATCTGCCTGAGGACTGGCTTCCGTCTGGCCACTCTACCATAAAGGCCTGATTGGTGGCGTGCTGCACAGATGGTTGTCCTTCTGGAAGGTTCTCCCATCTACACAGAGGAACTCTAGAGCTCGGTCAGAGAGACCATCGGGTTCTTGGTCACCTGCCTGACCAAGGCCCTTCTCCCCCGATTGCTGAGTTTGGCCAGGAGGCCAGCTCTAGGAAGTGTCTTGGTGGTTCCAAACTTCTTTCATTTAAGAATAATAGAGGCCACTGTGTTCTTGTGGACCTTCAATGCTGCAGAAATGTTTTGGTAACCTTCCCCAGATCTGTGCCTCGACACAATCCTGTCTCTGAGCTCTACGGACAATTCCTTTGACCTCATGGCTTGGTTTTTGCTCTGACATGCACTGTCAACTGTGAGACCTTATATAGACAGGTGTGTGCCTTTCCAAATCATGTCCAATTAATTGAATTTACCACAGGTGGACTCCAATCAAGTTGTAGAAACATCTCAAGGATGATCAATGGAAACAGGATGCACCTGCGCTCAATTTCGAGTCTCATAGCAAAGGGTCTGAATACTTATGTAAATAAAGTATTTATTTTAGTTTTACATTAGTTTTACATTTTTTAAATATTTAATCAATTTTATAATAAGGCTGTAACGCAACAAAATGTGGAAAAAGTCAAGGGGTCTGAATACTTTCCGAAGGCACTATATGTTAGTCCTTCTATTCATTAAATATTCACTTCTACGGCAGAAATCCCTCAAGTTGTTGTCATGACCATGCCAGACAAGGCTTGTGAACTGGTGAACAAAGATGTGAAGAGAATCTACTACAGCAAGGCGATCAAAGAGAAGGTGAATCACATGACCTCAGACCTGATCAAATTTCACATTGGCTGCGTTCTATGCTGACTACATTACAGACGCATGCCAAATCTCACATTGCCTGGACAAGTGTTTAACATGTCAGCTAACCATAAAATATGATGAGGCAATCTGATGCCCAACTGCACAGTTGATGATGTGGCACGCAACCATTGGTTAATGCAATGCAATATCTGCAATGTAGTCAGCCATTAAATCTTGGTTGTGCTGAAATGATCCAATGATCATCACTCAAGCAAAACTGATCCAGCCCTTTTTGTCTCCAACGTTTTTCAGATGGAGATCTGCAGTAATGAGCTAGGCATTCCCATGAACTGCATCCTGCCGGTGAAGAACTACCACGAGGAGGGGATGCTGGATAACGACATGGATATCCTGATACTCAACGCCATGACTCAGATTATGAACTTTGCCAACGACTACCTCTGGAACCTCCAACAACATGCAATTCATTAAGAGATTAGTGAGCACTGCAGTTTAAGATTGGAATCAAGTTCCTAATTTCTATATTGTTGACATTGTAGTCGTATTATTTCACTTCCATGTAGAGGCCTAAATATGTTATCTGAGGCTCTGGGAGAACTATGCATCTCTGACTGAGTATGCATCTCTGCGTGACAAGAACATCTTTAAAATAAACTGAGCATTGCTGTGCATATATGCTACTTTTTAACATTAACACCCAACAGTGTACAATTGTGTTAGATAAACTAGCATCCTTCACCTGAATTCTTTAGATGACAAACTGATTTTAAACCATAATTTGTTTTACTGATATTGCTGTCACATTCATTTGATGTGACATTATTGTTGTATCTTTTTTTTAGCTTTTCTGCTTAAGTTGACTTAATTTCTTCTTAATTTCCAGGTAAATTTAAGTTAAATAAACAATACAAAATAATGGCTATTGATGACATATCTTTCTCTCTATAACCAGGTTTCCATCCAACCATTTCATTGGGATGAATTACCTGACGCATAAAGAAACTCACGACAGGCCTGATGGAAACTGCAAATTTGTCTGTAGAATTTCAAAATGTAGACAAAACAAAATACACTACACAAGGGTGGATCATTTTTGGGGTCTGTGAAATAGATTATGCGACAATTGTGGTGGAAACACATTTAAGTGCAAATATTGATATAATAACCATCATATCGAAGTAAACTTGGAGTCACGCGATGATTATGTTATGTTGTACAACCACCACGACGTGGAAAAGCATGCAGAGTATATAGGCAGATTACATACCGTTAATTATGATGAACTTCATAACTTATTTCATAACTTCATAACTTATGGTAGTTAACCTGTTGAATGTTTAGTGAAGTGGATGGCTGTATAAAACATATCTTCATGAGAGGGCCATGAACAGTACCTAGTAATGCCTTATACTGTTAGAAAGCTCTGTTTGTTGCTTTTGGGGGGGTATTTATTATTTGTATTAACTTTTTGCATTAGTCTTTATGGCAGATGGACACCTACTTGGCGTATTGCTGCCACTGCTGGTTGGAGTGCACACTGCACTCTCAACCCAAAGTAAAGATTGTGACCAAAACTAACCAGTAACCTTACATAAAAGTAACAAGATTCCTGTCCCATCAGAACATGCAAGAGTATTCTAGCGAATACATTTTAAAATGCAATTTAAATAACGTTTGAATTTGATTTGACATTGCACTTTTAATTGGTCAAATATTTTTTTTAGAGAAATAGACCTTTGCAGTAAAAACTATAATATGCACAAAGAGGTCAGTCCTCCCAATACATGTCACATTTTTATCATTCAGTGACGTGGGTCGATCAGGATCCAGACTGTGACAGTAGCCTAGTAACATAATTTAAAGGTCCAATGCAGACGTTTTTATCTCAATATAAAATAATTTCTGGGTAACAATTACAGTGAGGGAAAAAAGTATTTGATCCCCTGCTGATTTTGGACGTTTGCCCACTGGCAAAGACATGATCAGTCTATAATTTTAATGGTAGGTTTATTTGAACAGTGAGAGACAGAATAACAACAAAAAAATCCAGAAAAACGCATGTCAAAAATGTTAGAAATTGATTTGCATTTTAATGAGGGAAATAAGTAGGGCATTGGGCCAGGGCATTGAAAATGGGTTGTGGATGGGTATTCCAGCATGACAATGACCCAAAACACACGGCCAAGGCAACAAAGGAGTGGCTCAAGAAGAGGCATATTAAGGTCCTGGAGTGGCCTAGCCAGTCTCCAGATCTTAATCCCATAGAAAATCTGTGGAGGGAGCTGAAGGTTTGAGTTGCCAAACGTCAGCCTCGAAACCTTAATGACTTGGAGAAGATCTGCAAAGAGGAGTGGAACAAAATCCCTCCTGAGATGTGTGCAAACCTGGTGGCCAACTACAATAAACGTCTGACCTCTGTGACTGCCAACAAGGGTTTTGCCACCAAGTACTAAATCATGTTTTGCAGAGGGGTCGAATACTTATTTCCCTCATTAAAATGCAAATCAATTGATAACATTTTTGACATGCGTTTTTCTGGAATTTTTTGTGTTATTCTGTCTCTCACTGTTCAAATAAACCTACCATTAAAATTATAGACTGATCATGTCTTTGTCAGTGGGCAAACGTACAAAATCAGCAGGGGATCAAATACTTTTTTCCCCTCACTGTAAGTACCTTACTGTCATTGTTTTCAATTAAAACAAAAATAGCTTCTTAGCAGAGAGCAATTTCTCAATGAAGAATTTAGCTAGGACTGTATGGGAGTGTTCTGAGTGGGGAGAGGAAAACTGAAAACTAGCTGTTATTGGCAGAGATGTTTGGAACTCTCTTTCTCATTGGTCTATTAACTAATTTACCGCCTGGTTATGTCACCAGGCAGGCCAAAACTCCATCCCACCAAAACAAGCAGTTTTTTCAAACAGCTCTTACACTAAAAGTTATTATCATAATATTCACAATTTCACAGTATTATTTCAACCTCATAGTGTGGAAATGTATATAAAACACAGGACAACCATGTTTTTGATTGCACTGATCCTTTAACATATTTGACTAAAGCTGTTAATAATAAGTCAAATGTGTACTATTTAATTGAACAAAATCCGTTTTTTATCTCACAGTAATGTCAATTGCAGTTGGTAGACTATTTTTCCATGTTCAAGATCACCAAAGCGAAATAAAATTCAAGACATGACAAGATCGTATGAATAGACACGAATAACTTTACAGTCTATTATTCGAATTGAGATTTGCAAATGACAGACAGACAATTTGCCACTGACAGACAGGTGGGCCTACCATGCATTCAACCAGATGCAGAGTTAACACCAGGCATACACATTTGTTCTCTTATGATGTGCTTGTGGGTCCAGCACATCAAAACACACATTTCTCATGTCATGTAAATTGGTTCCAGAAACAGCCGAATCAATATCACTTCAAGCCCCCTATTGAGGTTTAGGGCAAGGTGTTGGAATCTGTATCAGAGGCCCAGTTTAATCCAGTTCAGAAAATTATAAAGTGCTGTGCATATTGCCGGTATAAAGTGCAGTTTGCAAGGACTACAGACAGTAAGTGTGGTAGTAGGGCTACCAGTGTCAAGCAGCGCTACTTTTCAGGCATTAGGCTACATGGAGGTGAAACTATGAGAAAAATCGAATTTGAGAGCAATATTTCTTAAATTGTAGTGATAAATAACGCCTGATTTATCATAACTGTTTGTGTATATTTTATAAAGTGTATCATACCTTTTATATGTTTTATTACCCGTATTTTATATCAAACTTTGCATTGTACTATGAAACTGCTTGAGGTGTTCAAATTCCCTTTTGAAAACAGGCCTTTCTAACTTAGCTTTGAGGCCTTTGTGTTTTATGTTCTTTGTTCTTTGATTCATGTCTTTTATTGCCTTGTTTGTTTTTGAATTATATTGGTTTTAAGTGTGTTGCTATTTTAATTGCAATGAGGCCCTTTATCTACTTCCCCAGAGTCATATGAATTTGTGATAACCATAGACTTCCAGTCATTATGCTAATGCTAGTTAGCATTGAATCATGAAACGACCTCATACTTCCTTCATACTGGACACAGAGACATAAAAATGGTATCCACAAGTTCATCTGAATCTTGGGAAGTAGATAAATGGCCTCATTTCCAAAATCACAAAGTATCCCTTTAACTTTATAGTCTATCATTCTTATTAAGAGGTTTTTTTAAATGTATGAACTAATCCCAAAGAAGGTTTGTAGCAGCTAGATTGACTGCTGAACTGAACTGGGGGTTGAGAATGATGACAACAGACAAGGTGTTAAGAGCTATTAGCATGTGCAAAAATCCATGTCCTTACAGAGCTGATTGATCAAGACTGGTCAAACTATGTTTTTATCATGACTTCTCAATACTGAGCTTCTACTTGTTACACCCTAAAGACGATGTCCGCGCCCGCGTGAAAATCTAATTAGCGTCATTAAAAAAATCCCCATCAAAATCTCTGTTTAAGCTAGAGATATCTGTTTTTTTTGTATGAGCTGCGTCCCAATCCTCGGCATCCGCCAATGTTGGCCTTCCGCATCTGCGGTGGACGGTGGCAGCGCTACAGGGTTCTGACTAGAGGGAGTACAGCTACGACCGGAAGTTACTTTTTCATAGCAGGTTAGGAGAACTTTAGCAGCAGGTTAGGATAATTAACGTGGCTGGTTAGGAGACTTAGGTTAAGGTTAGGAAAAGGGTTAGCTAAAATGCTCTCCCTACCTGCTACGAAAAGTCACTTCCGGTTGTAGCTGTACTCCCTCTAGTCACAACCGAGCTACAGCGGTGTTTGTCAGACCAGGACTTCACCAAAATCGGTCTTCTTACTTGCATTGATTGACATATCTCTTGCGATTATGGATAGAGTGGCCATAAAATGAAAAAGGCCATGAAATTCGGAAATACACAGAGAGGAAGAGGTGAAGTGAGAGGGTCCACAAAATCTGTCAAAAAAATAAGACCACAAAAGCTAGGTTTCCATCCAATTGGCGACAGATTTTCATGTGAATATTCTAGAATGCGCATAAACAAAAAATATGCACATTTTCCCACCAGTGGTATTTCCAACAAATGGACATGTTGCAGATAGAAATGCATGATGACTTAGTGCACACAACATTTTATTTTTCTCTTAAGTTTTCATGTACCGAATAAAAATCTAAAGTTCAATATGTTTCCATCGCATTTTCAAATCTACTGATAGTTTTGTCACAAAAACTGTTGCTTTAAATAGCAAATGTGCCTACTCTGGTCTTGGCACGTCCGCTCTAGCCAACAGCTTGCAGATACAGTGCGGGTAGACTAGTCTACATGATGAGATTATTATTTTTATTTGTCAAACGGCAGTCAAGCATCGATGTCACCAAAATAAGACCCTCGATATTATTGGAAAAGAGCATCAAGATCACTGTGCACTTTCACCACCCTGTGAAGTTCATCATAACTTACACTGAGTGTACAAAACATTAAGAACACCTGTTCTTTCCATGACGGACTGACCAGGTGAATCCATGTGAAAGCTATGACCTCTTATTGATGTCACATGTTAAATCAACTTATATCAGTATAGATGAAGGGGAGGAGACAGGTTAAAGAAGGATTTTTAAGCCTTGAGACAAATCGAGACATGGATTGTGTATGTGTGCCATTCAGAGGGTGAATGGGCAAGACAAAATATTGAAGTGCCTTTGAATGGGGTATGGTAGTAGGTGCCAGGCGCACCGGTTTCTGTCATGAACTGCAACGCTGCTGGGTTTTTACTCTCAACAGTTTCCCGTGTATATCAAGAATGGTCTACCACCCAAAGGACATCCAGCCAACTTGACACAACTGTGGGAAGCATTGGAGTCAACA